GCAAAAATGGCGCTCGATGTGAGAATCTTCGATAACATTTCTCCTTCTCGTTTCGTCGCTTTCACAATCCCTAATCCTAATTCTCCATTACTTCTCCTCCGAGTCGCCGTACTCGACTCGCCTGTTCATTCCACCAAGTCATCTCACCGAGTCGCCGCCATGCTCGTCCCCAAGCTCAGAGAAACCGATTGGATCTTCTCCACTGAGTCCGGCCATCTGCAGCTCCTCCTTGACCTTCCAGAAATCTCTCGGCTAATACTGATCGGAGACGATCCCGATGGCTCTGATTTCTCTCCGGTTTACCACCGACCGACCGTTGAAGACGACGAAACAAAGAGACTCGAGCAGAGGCTGAAACCTCTTGTGGTAGCTCTCTCACNTAAAACCTTAACCCGTGACGAAATCGACGATGTTCCTTTTCTGATTTACGAGGATAATGTTGTATCAAGCGTTGTGCTTGAGAGATCCGTTGGGACTTTCGTAGGTGAAATGCTAATCGAAGATGTAGAGATCAAGATCAATGAAGCTAGAGAATTTAGGAGGAGATTGAGGTTCAAGAGAATGCCTAATTTAGTCCAATCCGACATCAAAATCGTTCCCAGAAGTTCTTCTTCAGATTTGAAGTCTTCTCCTTCACTCACTGGAACAGAATTCAAGCTTGATCTCACGGAGCTTGTGCATCCTTACTTAGCACCAATGATTGCAAGTCTTTCGTTGATTGGTTCTCACATTGCTGAGCTCGAGTCTAGACCAAAGGCATTGTGCATTGGAGTTGGAGGTGGTGGGTTGCTTAGTTTCTTGAGGATACAATTAGGGTTCGAGGTTACGGGTGTAGAGATTGACCCTGAAGTTTTGAGGATTGCGAGGCAATACTTCGGGTTAGAGGAAAGCTTTGCTCGTGTTCATGTTGAAGACGGTATTGAGTTCTTGAAGAGAGTTTCGTCTCGCTGTGATGATGATGATGATACGAAATTCGATGTCTTGATGGTTGATCTTGATTCGACCAATCCGATTCACGGCGTGAGTGCTCCTCCAGTTGAGTTTGTGGCCAAAGATGTTATGTTAGCTGCAAGAACTGTTCTTGTTTCTTCCGGTGTTTTTGTTATCAATGTCATTCCTCCAAACAAGATATTCTACCAAGAACTCAAGGACGAGTTTAGACAGGTATTTACTGAGTTGTATGAGATTGATGTAGGAAATGGCGAAAACTTTGTTCTCATCGCAACCGTTGCACCTAGAGATCGCAAGAACGGTTTTACCAGTGAGAATCTAACGCCTGCTGCCCCACTAAAGTATATTGATGCTATACACAGAATTTGAGATTCGTTCAAACAAAAATATTTCATTGCATTAGCTCAGATACTTTAAAAAGTTTTGAGTTTTGGATTCAATGTCAAAAGTACAACAAAACCATATCCTATCGAAAATGTGTTCATCAGCTTCGAATCCTAGTCTTCATCAAACTTGATCTTCTTCGGGACTGGCTGGGTATTTCCAACCTGAAGTAGCAAATACCAAACATGAGTTTATTATCAGTTATTACTAGTTCTGTGTAATGTAGAGGAAGTAAATTTGTGTTAATTCGAAAACTTACAAGCTCGGGGCATTCATATTCTATTCCAGCGGCTTCGATTCTCGATCTCCTTTTCTTATCCCGTTTCATTACTTTTTGCAACAATTTCCTATGCTCTTCCAATGTCCTTTCCTGCATACACACAAACAACAGAAATCAAAGTTAAAACCACTTGCTAAAAAATGGTAAACTGAGCATAAGAAAAAAATGAAGAAGATAACCTTGTTATGGTGTTTACGCTCGATCTGAACATAATCCACTGGTTTGTACTGAGACTTGAACCCTTTCCACCTAATAACATTCAGGAAATAGAAGTATTATGATCCACAATGACTTGAAAAATAGAGAAACCTTCTCAACACTGTACTTGGCATGCTCTCTTCTGGAAAAACTAGAAAGAACATCATATTTTCTCTAGCCTAATTTCATGACTCGTACCGAGAAAAGACTCCTTCAATAAACTATCTTTTCTCTCAAACTCTTTTAACTCCCATGGTGTGCATCAAACCACATGTGATTGCATTAGAAAGAATGTTATTTCATTCAACAATATATCCCAAAGCACATAAGCTACCAAGCAAAATAGATAACACAGCCTACAGAATTGAATACGTCAACTAACTATTTATATAGGAAAATCACAACTCGTTACAAAACGAAGCTAATTGGATTTCCAAGTCACTCACAGATTTGGTTTGACATGCTCTGGTTGAATGACATGGACTTGAAGCATGTGCTCGAGCAACAGATAGTCATTCATTGCACCCGCTGCGATTTCAGCTACCTGTAGAGCAGCGAATCAAAGAGTTAACAATCAACTCTGGAACATATATAGCATAAGAATTTCACCATTTTTCTTAAGGTTTTCGAGTATATACCTCAGGATCCTCAAACTGAATGAACCCAAAATGCTTTGATTTCCCAGTCTGTGAAAAAACGAAAAAAACTAATGAGAGAAGAAGCAATGCTTAGTCTGAAACAAGAATATAAACAAATAAAGCACCAAATGTATTAACCTTTTTGTTTCGAGCAACTCTAACTCTCTTAACTGTTCCAAATTGCTGGAAGAAACCTATGAGCCAGACGAAGAACAGATTATCAAACACAATAACCAATTACAAGTGTGTGACAGCGAATTGATCAATACACAATAATCAAGAGTGTAAATTAAGCTGGTAATTAAGAAAAGCCCACCTTCAATCTCAGTCTCATAGAACCCATGAGGGATTCGACCGATGTATAGCACCGTGGCCTTATTCTCAAGAGGCTTGGTCACTGGAGCTTTGCGAGCTGGACCGCCTTCTAGTGGCTATCAAGCAACAATCAACCCGGAGTGAGCGATTAGAGTAAAATCCAAGAGAATCAATAAAACGATGGAGATAAGTGAAAGCATCGAAGAAAATACCAAAAAATCAGCCGATGGTTTAGGGTTCTGGGGAACAGCTAGCTGAGAAGAAGAAGCAGCAGCAGCCGAAGCTGAAATCTTCTTCATATTCTTCTTCAGAGCTTTCTTCGCTTTGGCACCCATTGTTGTCGTCGCCGGC